CAAATAGAGAGTATTACGAACGCAGTCATATTTATATTAGACTTTTACTTATTTTGATAATCAATAAAGAGATCAGACAGGGAATGGTTGAAGGAGTGAGATTATGCTATCAGGGTCGCAGATATGCGTAGAAGCGAGGACTATGAGTTCTTCGAGGACGACGCATTGATGGCGGAGAGATGAGAGCTGAGATGATGGCCCTTGGTTAGCCAATTTACAGTGGCCGAAGCTACAGGGGAGTACAGCAAGGCATCTCTGAGTTCTCCAATTAAACATCACAATTGTTTTGATAGTTCAATTTTCAACTCAAGATTATGTATGACATTCGAATATGATTAAACATTATGCACTGACTCACATAGGTTCGTGATGCAAGAGTGGCCACCGTGGCATTTAGGGAATCTGCAGAAGAAGACATATACACACCACAGAAGATCAGGTATAAATGTATCTTTGCATTCTAAGCACTCTGCTATCATTATCGCAGAGCATATTACAACCCTACTTGAATTCGAGGCGTTAACGCCAGTCAAAGTAACCAAACCAACAAGACATCGAATATTAGGACAAAACTTAGGCAGACCTCTAGGCCCACAGGAGCTGTAGGACGCAACGAGCGGCCTGATCGGTTTCCCGGTTTGGGAGTTAGAGTCGGATTTTCACTTTTAGGCAAGACTACTTCTCTTTAAGAACTTCTTTTCGGGAGTTAACAGCCCCATAAATCACCAACGGCGTCGGTTTAGGCACGAAACTTGGCAACACACACCGCCTAGGCAACGAGCGACTTGTGGAGAAAGAACCGAGGCTGAATCGGGTTCCCGGATCATTGGGAGTAGAGTCGGATTTCACTTTAAGCAAACCTACTTTCCTTAAGAAACTTGAGATTCGAGGAGTTAATGCCCAAAATCACCAAAAAAACGGCGTCGGTTTAGCACGAAACTTGGCAACACTAAACGACCGCCTAGGGCCACGAGAGACTTTGGGAGAAAGACGGAGGACAGCTCGAATCGGGTTCCGTTTTTGGAGCAGATCAATCAGCAGATCTCCACCCTCTAGGCAAACTCTTCCTTAGAAACTTGAATTCCGAGAGTTAACGCCCAAGAAATCACCAAAACGGCGTCCGTTTAAAGCACGAAACTTGCACACACACCACACACCACACGACCGCCTAGGCACGGGAGACTTGGTTGGGAAAGACGGGGCTCGCAATCGGGTTCCCGGTTTGGGAAGTTAGAGCCGGATTTCACTTTAGGCAAACTCACTTCCTTAAGAAACTTGAATTCGAGGAGTACAAAGCACACAAATCACCAAACGGCGTCGGTTTAAGGAACACGAAATTGGCACACACGACCGGCCTACGGCAACGAAAGAGACTTGTTGGGAGAAGACGGGGCCTCGAAATCGGGTTCCCGCCCGTTTGGGAGTTAGAGCCGAGATTTCACTTATAGGCCAACCTACTTCCTTAAGAAAACTTGAATTCGAGGAGTTTAACGCCCCAAAATCCACCAAACGGCGTCGATTTAAGCACGAACACTTGGCAACACATACGACCACCTAGGGCACAGAAGACTTGTGGGAAAGACCGGCGGCTCCGAATCGTGTTTTCCCGGTTTGGAGTTAGAGCCGGATTTTCACTTTAGGCAAACTACTTCCTTAAGAAACTTGAAATTCGAGGGTTAACGGCCCCAAATCACAAACGCGCGTCCGTTTGACGAACTTGGACATCACGACCGCCTAGCATGAGAGACTTGTGGGGAGAAAGACGGGCTCGAATCGGGTTCCCGGTTTGGGAGTTAGCGAGCCGGATTTCAACTTTAGGCAACTACTTCCTTAAGAAAACTTGAATTCGAGGAGTTACGCCCCAAATACGCAAAACGGCGTCGGTTTAGCACGAACTTGGCACACACGACCCGCCTAGGCAATTAAGAGACTTGTGGGAGAAGACGGGGCTCGAATCGGGTTCCCAGGTTTGGGAGTTAGAGCCGGCATTTTCACTTTAGGGCAAACTACTTCCTTAAGACAACTTAATTCCGAGGAGTTAACGCCCCAAAATCACAAACGGCGTCGGTTTAGCACGAAATTGGCACCCACGACCCGCCTAGGCACGAGAGACTTGTGGGAGAAGAACGGGCCGAATCGGTTTCCGGTTTGGGAGTTAGAGCGGATTTTCACTTTAGGCAAATTAAAACTTCTTTAAGAAACTTGAATTCGAGGAGTTTAACGCCCCAAAATCACCAAACGGAGTCGGTTTAGACGAAACTTGGCACACACGACCGCCTAGGCCCGAGAGACTTGTGGGAGAAGACGGGGCTTCGAATCGGGTTCCCCGGTTTGGGAGTTAGAGCCGGATTCACTTTAGGTAAATTACTGTCCTTAGAAACTATGAATTCGAGGCAGTTAACGCTCCAAAATCACCAAACGCGTCGGTTTTAGCACGAAACTTGGAACACACACGACACGCTAAGGCACGAGGAGATCTTGTGGGAGAAAGACGGGCTCGAATCGGGTTCCGTTTGGAGTTAGAAGCCGGATTTCAACTTTAGGCAAATTAAACTTCTTTAAGAAAACTTGAAATTCGAGGAGTTTAACGACCCAAAATCAACCAAACGGAGTCGGTTTAGCACGAAACTATGGCACACACGACCGCCTAGGCCACGAGAGACTTGTGGAAGAAGACGGGGCTCGAATCGGCGTTCCCGTTTGGGAGTTAGAGCCGGATTCACTTTAGGTAAACTACTTCCTTAAGAAACTTGAAAATTCGGGAGTTAACGCGCCCAAAATCACCAAACGGCGTCGGTTTTAGCACGAAACTGTAGGCACACACGACCGCCTAGGCAACGAGAGATACTTGTGGGAAAGAAGAACGGGGCTTGAATCGGGTTCCCGTTTGGATTTAGAGTCGGATTTCACTTTAGGCAAACTATTCTTTAAGAAAACTTTAATTCGAGGCGTTAAACGCCCCAAAATCACCAAAAAAGGCGTCGGTTTAGACGAAACTTGGCACACACGGACCACCTAGGCACGAAGACTTGTGGAGAAGACGGGGCTCAAATCGGGTTGGCATTATAGACTTGGATCTTTCCAACAACCAGATCAAAGGAAAGGTGCCGACATTTCAAAAATGTAAATATAGAGGGCCCACTAAATCGTTACAATTGAGTTCTAACAGATTTGAGGGCCCACTAACACCGCTTCCTTCATATGTTGATCTCTTAGATCTCTCCAACAACTCCCTTTCAGGACCTATTACTGTGAGTGATGATAATGCATTCACATCTCTTGGTCTCTCAAATAACCATTTGACTGGTGTCATTTCAGTGTCTTTGTGCAAGGCAAAGAATATAATTCTTATTGATTTCTCAAACAATCAGTTATCAGGAAAAATTCCTCCTTGCTTGGGGCAGTTGAATCGGTTGTCAGTGCTAGATTTGACGAATAATAGTCTATATGGTGAAATTCCAAGTTCTTTGGGTTCCCTACAATCTCTCAATTCCTTGCACTTGCGTAACAATAAGTTTTTCGGGAAGCTTCCTTTGTCCTTACAGAATTTGACAAATCTTTTCACCATTGATCTAGGTGAAAATGTGTTCACTGATAATATCCCTTCATGGATTGGATATAACCTAACTAATCTTAAATTTCTCAATCTTCAATCAAATAATTTCTATGGTGATATTCCTCCACAACTCTGTTGTCTCCAAAATTTGCAATTGTTGAACTTGGCACAAAATAACATAACGGGAAATATCCCTCGTTGTTTTGGCAACTTCACTGCCATGGTTGACCTACATCGTGGGCACTTTTCTTATCCAGTTAATTATTATATTAAAGCAAATTATGAAGAGAACATTTTGGATTCAATGAAAGGAAGAGAACTGGAATACACCAAGACACTCAAATTTCTCGTCTCCATGGACCTTTCAAACAATGGCATTGTTGGAGAGATTCCAGAAGAGTTAATGGATCTTTCTGGGTTGCTAAACTTGAATTTATCTGGAAATCATCTGAAAGGAAGGATCCCTAATAATATTGGCAATTTGACACAATTGGAATCTCTTGATTTGTCTCGAAACAAACTTTCTGGCCCCATTCCTCCAAGTCTGTCCAGTTTACGCTACCTAAGTTATTTGAACATGTCATTCAATAATTTATCAGGGCGAATACCAACGGGAAATCAACTTCGAACTCTCGACGATCCTTCCATTTATATAGGCAACGATGATGGCCTTTGTGGTGCACCACTAAACAGCTGCCTCGATGATAAATCATCGGATGGTGATCACAAACATGGTGATCACAAACATGGTGATGAGGGTAAAGTTGCAGATGAAACTGATTTTTTGTGGTTCTATGCTGGCATTGGACCTGGTTTCTCAGTTGGGTTTTTGGGGGTCTGTGGCACTTTGAATTTCAAGAAGTCTTGGAGGTATGCGTACTTCCAATTCCTCGAAAACAACTACAATTGGATATTAGTAACCATAGCAATCAAGTTCGCTCAGCTAAAGAGGAAATTCAACGAAAAAAAATTTGGAAGATGAATATATCTCCCAATTGGTTTCTCTCTCTCTCTCTCTCTCTCTCTCTCTCATATCATGTACATACATTACCTCTTTATCTTGTGATAATTTCGACGTGTACATCAAATTCCAATCTTCATACCCCATAATTTTTCTTGCATGAATCTTTTGAATTTTTTTCATTTCCTTACCATCATTAACATAACAATGCTAATCATGTTAATGATTTTTGGAATATCATCACGACTTGAAGAATAACCATTCATATTTTGAAGTGGAGGTAGTGATATTTCCAGATTATCATCAAAACATGTCTTACATTCAAGATCATACAATAAAGTGTACAGATTAATTTCCACCTAATTTCTTTACCAAAAGAGCCAAAATTCTTTGTCACATGCTTAAAAACATTGAAACAAATGCAAGTTTGCTGTTTTACATTTCTCAAATAATTTTTCAAAAGTCATTTGTTGCATTATTTCAGAGAAACCTTGTTAACATCCACTAATATGCTTGTTATATGCTTTGTTGTCATTAAAGGGTCTTATATTCGGCTAGAGAAAGGATTCTCAAAGGAAGCAGCATTGAGATCATGTTATGGATTTTCTTGAGTTGTTGGAAAGAAATAAGTTTGAATAATTCTATAATTCTAGTATATATGTTGATGGGGTTTGATGATTTTGTGTCTTTTGTAAAATATTCTAAAGTAAGGCTTTCCTTAAATAAATGATCTGTGAACTATCATATTCCAAAATATGTTATAGACTGTGTTTTGCACATATATGTATTCTCCTTTTATTGGTGAATTCTATGACTTTTGCCCATTTAGGCCATGGATTCTAGTTTTAATTTTGAGAATTGAGCAAAATGCTTCAACAATGATATACATATAGTAATGGAATCACCAACAAAAACCCTATCAAAACAGAGAGCTATTGTGCCACAATCAAATTCACATATAGGTTCAACTATTCATGTTTTTCTTCACATTGTAGTAATCTTTACTTGTGTCAAAGCTTTTAATGATTTAGGAGAAGTACGTAACATCAGTAATATACAAGCATGTTTCTCAACTTGCACTACTTTTTGTTTAATTTGTTAATGATTAATCCTTGCCAAAGATTTGTGTGTGTGTGTGTGTTTTATTCTCTGTCTATTTGTGTCTATTGAGTTTTAACCAATTTATCAGTGTTTGAGGTTGGCTTTTTTAATAACTTTTTGTTGATTTTTTTCATCTTTAATGATTTTTTTTATTTAAATTAAAGTGTTACACTCTTGAATTCTACTCGACTAGAGAAATTAGAAAAGATCAAAAAATTTGAAAATTTTGAAAAAAAAGTCCAAAAGGGATTATAAAAAAAAAAATCAAAAACAATTGATTTTTTTTTTTTGGTAACTTTTTTTGTGCTTAGGATTTTATTTTATTTTTTTACTTTTTAGATTCGTCTACATAAGACAAACCTAAAAAGTTAAAAAAAAAAAAAAATGGACATAATTTAGAAAAAAAAATCACTAAAAATTTAAAATATATATATAACTTTTTTGGGAGAAAGCCACACATTAACAAAAGCCAAAGTAACAAAACTGTCACAATGTAACCAAAATATCGTAAGTTTCCATATATGCAGATGCAAATGCAAATGATTAGCTCCTAACTACACATTGATTTCAGCAGTCCACAAAATGACCCAAAGGGGATCTAAATCAATTATCACAATTTCAATAGGCATCAGCCAATCCTACACACCATACCAACAATTAGCATAGAGAAAAGGAAAATGTTATGATGTTCACCCTTAAAATGATGCATATGGTACACTTTTATGTTATTTTAGTTCCTATATTTTCAAATCGTTCGATTTTAACATTGAATTTTATGTTTTGTCTCTTTTTGTCCCAATTAACAATGGTAGTTAAGTCTTTTGATAGAAATTGGCCATGTGTATGTCGGGAGCTTCTATTTGCACATCCCCATTCCCCTCTTTACACACACTTAATAAAAATCATTTTTATTATAATTTTATTTTCAAGTGAAATTACTATTGTGGACATTAAATAAACACATTCAGAAATTGAATGTCGAAAAAATAAAAAAAAATTCGGAACTCTAGTTTCGAACAAGGTATTTATTTTCGGAATGTTGCTTCCGAACCAATTGTTTATTTTCGGAATTCTACTTCCAAATCAATTATTTATTGAAAAAGATGTGTAAAGAGGGGAATGGGTGTGTGTAAATAGAAGCTCCCGTGCATGTCACATGCCTTATTTTAAAGGGTAAAATATAAATTTAATATTTTATACATTATTTAGCCAACTCAGTGAGTTAACTCACTCAAATAAACACACATGTAGATCTCAATTGTAGAAGAGAAGCGATGGTTTTTGTTTAACAGATGGTTTGACGGGGAAAAAGAAAGGGGGTCCGCTCAGTTGGGGTAAGGCCGTGAGATTCGACTGGTGTCCATTGCTGAGAAGGTCACGGCTAGAGACCACTACTTTTGCAGCTGTTCCAATTGCTATAGATTGTGAGATTTCATCTTTCTCATCATCACCTCCTCATCTCTATTTCATGCTATTTACCATTTTGGGGAATAGAACTGATCCAAGTTTTTCCTTCTTAAAATAAATAAAAACTTAACCAAGTTCTTTATGGAATTGTTTGTAAATTTTCTTATATTACTTTGAAAAAAATCTTTTTGTCAATGGTGTTTTGCTAAGATATTATGGAATTGATTCAATGTGAAAATTTTAAAAACCACTAATGTAATTTGTCCAATAAAAAAAGGCAAGTTCCGTTTGTCACTAGTAATTTTAGAAGTTTGAGATAAATATTATGATCTGGTTAGGAAGGAGAGGAAACTAAACTAATACAAATAATACGTAAACATAAAAATAATTAATAATAGAACATAAATTTCAATATAAAGATATAATAATTATTTTTTTATCTATATGATTAATGAATGGCCAATAATCCTACTTTTTTTTTTCAATGATATTTAGTTTACCATCTCAGGGTCACGATTGCATTGGTTAAGTTGATTCCATCACTAGTGACAATTTCAAGGCAATTGTGACAAATGAGATGGTAAAAAATGTGATCATGTAAATGAATGATTTTGCCTAGTGGCAAAAAGGATAGATCCTAAGAATGAATTGTAAATCCTAACATATCGAGATTGACTCTCACTAATATTTCTTAAACTTAACCGATACATGTGATTTATAGACAATTTTAAGGATTCGAGATTTACTTACTCTGAAGAGTGGGTTTAGTGTAGCTTTCATGATTGCATTGGTTAAGTTGGTTCCATCACCCCATTGTGTAATTATCCTTTTTGTCCTTATTAGTCATAGAGATTTGAGAGTAGGAGAGAAATAAGTGGGGGGAACTGTTCATATAGAAACCATAATTAAGTAAATTTCCAATTAAAAAATCTTCCCACCCAAGCAAAAGTTAAAAACCACCATCTAAGGACATTTTCAACCCCTATGGCTTGAGAAGTAGTTATTTTAATTATTTTTTTGATTTTTTATGAAAAATAGATAGAGTAATATAATAATTTATAATGATTTTTTTAATTATATTAATCAACGATCAAACAAGGTTTATCAAATTTAAATTTGGATAAAAATCTTGCAAAACACCTCTTCACTCATTGACTCAAATTTATATGAAATTAAGTTTTACCCCTTTTTCAACGCAAATTAAAGGAGACATAAATATATACTCGAATTTTTTTCAAGATCATTTTGTAATTTTCAAATTACCACTCTGCCATTACAGAAGTTTTACTCAAATTTACAAAAAATATGACACATAACACTTAAGTGCATATTTTCTATAAAAACAAAAATGTAAGAGTTCAAATCAATTGGACTAAATTAAGACAAAGTCATAAATTCAGGATCAGAATCGAGTCAATTAAAATTACAAGAACTTAAATTTCACAATGACCAAAATATAGCAACTACCGTCGTAATTTGCCCGTTGTTTATTGACTAATACCATTCTAAAGCAAGGCAAATACCTAACCTTAAGAAATTGTGAGTGTTGACTTAATAAGACACCTATAAATATACCTTGTTGTATATGATAAAAATATATGTTGATCCAACAAGGTTGAACTAGTTACTCCAAAAAGAGAGCCTAAAAGAGAACAAAATGGGAGAATTCAACACTTAAGTGTCAAAGGTTATGAGGATGAGCAGGGCTGTGTGCCTTTGTGCCCTCCTAGGTAGGGTTACAAATGAACCGAGCTGTTCATGAACAAGCTCTCGTTAACGGCTCGGCTCAGTTCGTTTAGTAAACGAGCCAAGCTTGAGCTCACATAAGCTCGACTCATCAGACTTGGCTCATTTATCTTTATTTAAATTATATAATAAATATATTATTTATATATTAAATAATATAAAAAATGTTTTTTATTTAAATATTTTTATTTAAATAATATAAATAATATTAAAAAAATTATCGAGCGGAATCGAGCCGGGCTCGAGTTTCATTACTATTAACGAGCTGAGCCGAACTAAGCTCGAGTCCAGTTCCTTATCAAGTCAAGCTTGAACTCAATAAATGAGCTCGATAAGTAAACGAGCAGACCTTAAATTCAGTAAAATTTAACTCGGTTCGATTCGTTTGTAACCTTAAACACAGCACCCCTACGGTAGAGCAAGCACCCCTCCTCCATTTCCCAAATGCAGGCCTGGCTCAAGAGGGAAGGCAATGAAGCACCTGCTTTAGGCCCCTGGTTTAATAAAGGCCTCATTTTGAACTAAGGTGTCATATAGACAATTAAAAAAACAAAAAACAAAAAAGAACAAGGCTTCAGTAGCTTTTTTCAAACTATAATAAAGAAGTCACATTGGCTTACAAAAGAAAGGAAAAAGGCTCCGTATAGCCGATAAAAAATAAGAATAATGCTTGGGACCCCCTTTTGGGGTCACCCCTCACCCCCTTTGCCACGTGGTGGGTGGTGATTGGAGGAGTAAGAAAAAAAAGAAAAATAAAAAGAAAATGTGACCAATGAGAGAGAGAGGGTGTCAAAGGGGGTGGGGGGAAAAGGGGGATGAATCATTACTCTTTATATTTAGCTCACATGTCTGAGCAGTAACTTAAAGTTTGAATGGATCGTTAAAAAGTGACTATGAAAGGTGCAATTTTGGTTATATACGATTCGTTGGAAATTAGCCAATGTGTAAACTGGACACATATGGAGGTTGCTTCAAATGGAGATAGCATTAATTGAGCCTACTTTGATTCTATGGGTCGTGTTATCTTCAATCTCACTCCATTCTTATTAATAATTGAGCCTACATAACAAAATTGCTCACCCTTTGGTCTCTCCTGCCTTTCAACCTTAACTTGTCTGTTATTTCTATTTCTACTGTTATTGAAGTAATATTCCATGCGTACAATTTCAGTATTATTTTAAAATGTTTTTTAACGACTCAAGTGCTTCTATTCTATCTAAATTTCTAATTTACTATTAATTCCTCTTTTAATTTCATCCACTATGATAATAGCATCTGCAAATAGCATAAATCACAAGACATCATCTAAAATATGTCTAACCTTCATCTATAATTAAGGCAAATAGGTACGGACTTGAGGCTAACTCTTGGTGTAATCTTCAAGTAATCGGAAATTCATTCGTTTCTCTTGCGAGTGAATTAATTGTAGTCACAATTCCATTATACATACCCTTCATCGCATTAATATAACCTTTGTCAATATTTTTTTGTCTAACACCCACCATATTTTATCTCAAAGCACACCCCATCCTAAGTTCTTTTTTTT